TCGGTCTGCGTCAGCTCGTTTTTGCCCAGAATATGGTGCGCATATCCACTGTCGAGAACCCAGGAGCGCGTCAATGCAGCGGTCGAGAGTGGAAGGTCGACTTGCGAAGTCGTTGTCTTCTTCTGGTGTGTCTCGGAGGACTCTATGGTAGAATCGTCGGAACCTGGGATCGCAATTGGTGTCTCCACCGACCCCTTGTCGCGTCGGTAGTCCTGTAGATCCGGATGCCATAACTTTGCTTCCCGTTGACAACGTTGTAGGGCGTCTGCGCTCTGTTCCCACCGCCATTGCGGCAGCGGGTCTGGTACTTTGACGAGATGGCCCTCGTTTGGCTTCTCCATCCACTTGTCCAGAGTGGACTTGCCAGAAACGATGTGCGGGTAGCATTCCGCGGTATGTGCGTCGAAACGTATCCGACGCCGTGGTTTGGTAGATGCTGTCTTGGCCTTGTGGGCGGCCATGAGAGTCTTGTCGCGCATGACGTAACTGCGGTCGGAGTGGCGCGGGCGGCGATAGTTGGCGGGAGAGCGCGCCCTGAACTTGGGAGAACCGCGGGACGAACCGCGGCTCGCGGAACGTCGGCCACGTCCTCTCTCGCTGCCGTACGATCTGTCGCGGCCACGTGGGCGGCCACGTCCTCCGCCGCGCCCGTCTCGTCCTCGGGAGGAGGATCGCGAAGATCTATCGTAACGACTTCTCGACTGGCTGCGAGGAACGGGAGACCTCCTGGAGGATGATCGAGAGCGGTCGGGTTGGCGTCGGTTGTCACGTCTATTGCATGAGCCCCCCGCGTTGCGGGACCCCCCGGGTTGTGGAGAGCGTTAGCTCCCCGATCCACGGGACGGCGGTCGGCCGCGACTGTCCTGACTGGAGGTCCGTGGGCGACTTGGGCTTCGCTCAGGTGTCTTCGTACCAGGCGCCAGGTGAGCGCGTTTGCATGTGTCACCCTTGTTGCACTTGTTCTGTGCGAAGTCCCTGCACTGCGCCACGCGTGGAAAGTTGCACTTGTCGCCTCGGGCGCAGGTGCTGCGCTTGGCGAACTCGAAGCAAAACGGCTTCGATGCTGGCTTCTTGGGATTCGCAGGTGCTGAGGCGCTGCGGCGAGAGTTGCCGCCAGCGGTCGATGCTCTGGAAGATCTGCTGCTTTGTCAATCTCTGGGAAAGGCATGTAAAGCCTTGCAACGCTCACCATTGCGACAGTTGCCTATCTTCCAGGCGGCGCAGACATGCACCTGAGAACGATTCTCATGTTCGTACCGTAACTTGTTTTGATTCTTCTCCAGTTGTTTGAGCCCCAGTACGTCTAGGACGCGCTGTCGGAGCCAATCATAGGTACGATTCGGGTCGCTGATCTTCATACGCTGGTATTCGTACATATCCTGTTTCATCCAGGCGTGTCGGCGAATCTGTGTACGAAACAGATATTCCAAGATCTTTGGGTCGGGTGCCTCTCGGCAGTCCAACAGTAAAGCGACCCAGTCAACAATGAAACGTTGCAGATTTTCATCTCTCATCCTCAGTTCAGTGAGGCGCCCAAAATCATGCAGGTCGTCATCAACCTCTGTGACGTTGTAGGACTGTAGGATGTGCCAATAGATCTGGCGTCATTTGAGCATGCGCCCTGCTTTGTGCTCTCTGGTTTCGATGAGCCTGATCTGGTAGCGCAAGTCGGAAGATAAGATACCGCTGAGAGCGGTAGCGAGTTTGCAATCGATGCTCTCAAAGTCTCCGCTGCCTTGTAAGTCTCCGAATGTGCACTCGGGCTGTTCAGCCACGCGTAGGAAGGCAGATGCTTTGGATGGTCGCCCTGAAAGCGGCCCCACAATTATTCCGTACCTTTTGCTGCCACTCAAGCAGCTGTGTGATCTTAGGCAAGACGGGGGCTCGGACGGTGTCTGACTCCTTGATCGGAGTAGTAGTATTGACCGAAACCGCAGACAATGGTTGCGAGGGAATCGGTACACCGTCGGTAGTTGGTTCTGTGCGCACGGGGGACACGTGGCGTGTCTGTGCCGAAGCTGCCGCGGAGGCTGCTCCTGGTGACGTGCGTCGTTGCTGTCCTGCAGAAGCGCGCGGTGCTTCAGCGGACGCTGCCGTCGGCCTGTGCAGGTCGGTTGCAGGCTGAAGGTGAAGTGTGGTGTCGTTGGTGTGGTCAATCAGCTGTTTTGTCCAGCTCGTCATGTCCTCGTGTATTTGGTCCACTTTTTGGCGTGTGTACTCGTCAGTGTCCCGAGAGCGTTGTGAATGCCGATCAAGTCGTTGCTCGTAGGCTCGGAGACGGGCGTTGCTTGCCTCCAACTCACTGTCCAGACGTGCGAGGCGCTCCGCGACACGTACCTTTTCAGCATCTCTCTCTCTCTCTCTCTCTCTCTCTCTCTCTCTCTCTCTCTCTCTCACGAATAACCTGGGAGAGCTCAGACTGCGCGTGGTCCGCCGCCTTCTCGACCTCCTGCAACCTGTCAGCGAGGCGGGCGAGATCGTAGACCGTGAGAGGAGAACCCAGCTGATCAGTCTGGACTCGTCCGACACGCAACTCTGCCAGGGCGTCCTGTACACCAGGGGAACGCTGCTCGATTTCAGAGATCCTTTAGTGAGTGGCTGCACCACAGCGTTGGTCGCATCAAGCCTTTGAGTGATAACTCCCTCAGTATTTTGCAACATGCCGATCAGGTTCGACGAGTTGGTGCGTGCTTCAGTGCGAAGCGTCGCTGCAGCGTGGTCTGAGACTGAACATCGCCAAGGTCATTCGCCTCGGCTGGAGGCGGTCGGTTGCGGAGCTGGTCATGGATCTCGTCGCGGAGAAGCCTGACTGCTGAAACGCCTGTGTCGCGGACGATCACAAGCTGCTGCTCCATCTGCGCATGGTAGTTGCGCAGGTGATCGACCGTCGCTGATCGTTCACCTGAGTGTGACATCTCACGGTCAACCTGGTACTGCAGCTCACCTAAGATGCGGCGATCTTCAGCGATCCTGGAATCGATGATCACTAAGGCGCCGTCGAGATCTTGACGTAGAGCAGCAGTGTTGGCGGCGTTCGTCCGGACGCTCTGCATCAGTCCAGAGTACTGCCTGGACACGAAGGTTTCAACCTGGTCTCTGTGCTCAGCTATTTCACCTGCAGCGAACGTTACCGCCGGCAGGTCGTCTGGGATGGAGAGGTGGGGAGCGTCGGCTTCCCTCTGCACCCTCTCGCGAGGAGTGCGTGGCCTCTGCGAGGCAGCACGCGGGCTCGACCTTTTCTCGTCGTATGGGCCTGTGGCCCCGCGACGGTTGCGCAAGGACGAGCTGCGGCTAGGGCCGTGCGTGTGTGGTGTCTGATGAGATGATACCTGGGGGTACTGCGTCTGCGGCTGTGCCGTCACTGGTCTACTGAGTTCCTCGAAGGTAGCAACGTGCTCCGCTACAGGAGCGGTCGCAGGGCTGGTCATGCCAGTACCCGTGTTCCATCGGCGGTCAGCGCGAAAACGCCCTGGAGTATCAGGACCAGCGGGGCTGGCGCCCGACGCAGTTGGGATTGCTCCCGACGGAAGAGGAGATGGAGGATCGAAAGTAAGCGTGTGAAACTCTCTACTGCCTGCTCCTACTCCTTCTCTTGTCCCCCCGCGGGCGGCGCGGCGGTGAAGTTCAGCAGCTAGCCGCGCCTCGGGTCCGTCTGAGTTGGGGGGGGTACTTGGGACACCTACACGGTCCACACGAAGGCTCTCCAACTCATCACCGAGACGTCGCGCCGTCGGAGAGCTCGGACGCGAGGCCCCGATGGACCCCTTGCGGAGCATGCGCCGCCTGGGTTCCATCGAGGCCGCGTGCGAAGTCGCGACGCGGGATTCGATGAACTGTGAGCTTTAAAGGGCTGATAACCTGTGTATGGGGTTAGACTACAAAGGTACAGAACCCCTGATCCGCTGGTAGAGGAAAGGAAGGAAAGATGGATATCTTTTCCTCCTGCACGATCAAAGGTCTGATCGATCTAATCCAATACCTGAGCCCAAACGGCCAGGCGCAGGAGAGGTGAGGATAAGGAGTATATATGAAGGTATTATACAGGTTCTATTCACATGGAGGTCGGGAGAGATATCACGGCAGACTCCCGTATGCCAATCCTGCCTGCATCGACTGCCAACGTGGCTCGGATCAGCCTTTTATCTGGAAGGCGCGGCCAGCCAGCGAACTCTCGATCCCAACCCGAAGAGAATAATCGAATCAATGTAGTTGTCCCTCCGGAACACGGTCGCCGTTGCACCGCAGGATGAAAGAGAATTAGCTGACGCCAAGGCAGCGGCGCTGCAGCGTGAGCTCACACTGCGGGTGGTCGGGCTCTATGATCGATTTTGTGGACGGCCGCTCGAGAAGTTTGTATTGCCTGATCGGCGTTCCCCATGTGAACCCTGTGGGACCTTCGGCGTGGCGGCGCCCTCCTCGACGAGGCACGCGTGAACGAAGAGGTGATCGAACCAAAAACGTCTCATTACCCCGCCTCGCGGTCGGAGACGGCCACGTCTCCGGAGGGGAGCCGACTTGGGGAAAAATGGCAGGCCATCAAGCGGAGGAAAGTTGTTGTGATTGAGCGGGGGAAAGCAGGGAACGACCGAACGGATGGAAGGAGGTCCTGAGATAGTGGAGTCGGGGCCTGGCACCTGCAGTTGCACTCATCCTCCTCACCCTCTGGCTGAATTCCACCAAGGCCTGGCACCAGCACGTAAATTAAACATGCGGGTGCCCGGCGGTGGATGTCTGTCGCTCGCCTCTCCCGTCAGCGCACACCTTGGGGGGCTCAAGGAAGGTTGGGCTAGAGAGGGTTGACCAAACCACCTCGGTTGTTCCCCCATGTCGAGCAATCGGACAACTAGGTTGAACAATGTAAGCACCTGGGTCCCCATGTCTGGGACTGTAATTGTCGCCGCGGATGGTGACTTGGTTCCGGGGCCCAGAAACTGCCCTGAGCCACCGAAGTCGCAACAGAACGCCCGTCGGGATTGATCGCGACGCCTGGGGCACGAGTCCTGGAAACCGTGGTCACCGTGGTCCAGCCCCCTCGACCCAGTGGGCGTCTCGGCAGACAAGTGCGGGATGGCCAGGTCTGGCTCCTCGCTCGCCTAGTGGCAGCGCGGGCGGGGGGGAGGGCTGAAGCAGAAGGCACGCACCTCTTCTCTCCCCCCCTCCTGCCTTCTGGTCCACCAGCTCTTCCTGCTCATCATCCTGTCTCCTGCCTGCCTCCTGCCTCCTGCCTGCTCTTCCTCGTCCTCCTCCTCCTCCTCTTCCTCCTCTTCCTCTTCTTCCTCTTCCTTCGCCGCCTCCTCCTCCTCATCACCCTCAAAATCCTCCTCCTCCTCCTCTTCGTCCTCTCCCCCCCTCTTCTGCTTCATACCCCTTCTCATATGTCTCTCTGGAAACACGCCTAATGATATCCCTCCTCGTGCGACAAGCATGAGCCGACACACGACGGCCACGTGATGGTCCAACGCGGGCCCAAGACGGCTCCAAGACAGCCGGAGACAAACTTAAGAAGGCGTCAGAACTCCTTGCAGGCAATCCAAATTATCCCTAAGACGCCCCTCAGACCTCCAAAACGCTCCAAACATACTAACCGGCTTGCAAGCAATCGCGAAGAGAACCTGAAGCTGTCTCCCAGTTGCCGTTGAGAGACCAGGCACATCGAAGCATATTGCGCGATTGATGTCTAAGGTGGCAGCCCAGGACGGCCCAATGACGGCCCAAGACAAGCCCAAAACAGCAACGCGGCAGCCCAAGACAGCTCCAAGTAGGCCCCCAGAACTCCTTAGACGTCCGAGCCCAAGACCCCAAAAGAACGCCCACATTTCCCACAGATATATGCCGCCTGGCATGCCCAAACGCGGCCCCAAGACAGCTCAATGCGCGCCCCAACACGGACTCATAGTGCGGGCTCCCCACAGGCCCCTGACTAACTTCTGAGAGTCGAACTGTTTTATGACACGTTTCGACATGTTTTCAAACTCCAAATCATCTTGCGGCAAGATAACCAAGGTGAGAGGCTTGATGTTTTATCCAGGCGCCCCTGAAACGACCCTCATGCAGGATCAGAAATCCGCCCATGCTCTCAAGGGCTTCCCACCCAGAGAACCAAAAGACGCAACCAGACTGCCCCAAATCGGCCCAAGGCCAACCAAAACGGCCCAAGGCGTCGTCGTCGCCGTCGTCGTCGCCACCGCCAGTCCCAAGGAATTGGAGGAACAACAAGAAGAAACGTCGTGGTTCAATTTAAAGGAGGCCCCTTCTTTTTGATCCCTTCCCTGTCGGGGTGGGGGTGGGGTCGGGACGGGCTGGTGCGGGGGGGGGGATGAGGAACACCCCCCCCCCTTCCCCCCGAAATTCTTAAAGGGGGAAACGGCTTATGGGGGCGTGATGTGGCCCCCAAACCCAGGTAATAGAAGAGGGCGTGGTGGCAAATGAGTTAAGGGAGGTGAGTGAGTATCGATGCCCTGAGGAAATAGAAGTTAATAAATGTTAATTGAGGAGGGGCGAAATCGCTTCACAACTGATGCTCCCGCGTTTGCTACGAGACCGCCCAACACAAGAAATACACGCTGCAACTGAGGAAGATATACCCCCGAGGGGGCACGATCGAAGACGAAGAGGGCAAGTATCCAGGGATGGGGTGTACGTGTTGAATGACACAGGAGCAGATCAGAACAAACAATATCAAAATAACGGCTGTTGCTGTTGTTGGTGTTGTTGATGTTGATGGTGTTGTTGTCGTTGATGCTGTTGTTGTTGCTGTTGCTGTTGCCGTTGTTATTATTGTTGGTGCTGTTGTTGTTGTCGTGTTTCTTGTTGTTGTTGTCGTCCTCGCCCGAGCCCCCCTCAACCCACCCGCGACCCACCCCGCGGCCCACCCGGCGACCCACCCCGCGACCCACCTCGCGACCATTCTCGCGACCCGACCGCGAAACGACAACGACTGGCCCGACCCCTCCCTCTTATCCGCAATTGCGGGGTGCTCAAACGTATTTCGTCTCTTCCTCCTCCTCCTCATCCTGATCATTTCCCACCGCTTCATCTCTCGCCTGTCCATCCTCTCGTCATCCACTCCTCCACTTTGTTCCCCTTCCCTCGTCATCCGATGGGCGCGCAGGAGGGGAAAGGCCTAGGCGCTGGACCCACCGCATGGACGCCCGCAACTTTCGACCCCGTTCTCGGGGACGGTTTCTCACCGTGGGTCGTTGTTCGACTGTGCTGGGGCCCTGCAATCGACGCCCCAACGCCGTAATCACGGACAAGAAGCGCCCGACGTGATATTTGGTTACGACGCCTGGAGGCATGCAGCACGAAAAGGAGGTCAAAATGTGTAAATATGGACTCATAAAAATCAGGACGGAGGAGCATCCGGGTAAACTGCAGCCGCGGATCGAGTCCTGGCTTGCCTTGTCCTTGTTTTTTCGGTGCACCAAAGAAAATGAACCGCGAAGCCGGAAGCGGCGCTGGGGCGAGCCCGCTGCCGGGGGCGGCGCTGGTGAGCCCGCTGGCCTCAGCCTGCACCCGCGGGGACCGCGGTGACCACAGGGACATGGGCGCCGCGCAGGGCAGCCGCCTGCGCAGAGGGGGGATCCCACCTTCTGCTCCGTGGGGCACTCTCCGACCTTCGGGCTCAGCCCGAAGCGCTGCTCATCACCGCTGTGCACCGCCAGGCCCAGGCCCCAGAGGGACAGAGGGAGCTTCTCCCCGGCATGCAAGAGGAAACAATGACTGAGTCCGAGCGGATCCTGGCGGGGAGAAAAGGGACGGGTGAGGGGAGGCGAAGGAGGAAAATAAGACCGGAAGGGAACGGAATGGACGTCCACACGGACAAACTGTCAGGCTTCAGGGACGTTCAGGAATGTAGCCCATGCGATGGCAATCTAACAGCATATCCGGAAATTGTCTGAGGTCACGGAAGAGGACGCAGAGGCATCTGGAAATTCTGCTACCCCATTTCGCTCCGCGTTGCCCCCTCGTCTGGCCTTCCCCCTTCCTCCCCCACCCCCTCTCCAATTCCTGCTGGTACTCTCGCTCCTCCTCCCCCAGTTCCCCTCCCTCCGCCGCACCCTCACCCTCCCTCCTGCACCCCACCTTCCCGTCCTCCGCACGGCAGGGCAGGGGCCCTCCGCACGGCAGTCGCCGTCGACGTCGTGGTCGTCTGCGTCGCGGTCGTCGTCGCGCTCATCGTGGTCGTCGCCTCCGTCGTTTCCATGGCCGCCGCCGCCGTCGCCGTCGGCGTCACCCACACGGTCGTCGTGGTGGTGGTGGCCGTCGCCGGCCCTGCGCTGGCCGACCCCCGGCCCTCGGAGGGCAGCGGCCCTCGAGCGCGCGCAAATGGCGCGCGGAGGCGGCGCGGCGCGGAGCCCAGCCCCGCTCCCGCCGGGCTGGCCGCTCCCGCCGGGAGGGCCGCCGGGAGCGGGCAGAGCTTCCCGCTGTCGGGGCGCGCGCGCGGTGGTGAGACGTCGTCCTCGTCGTCGCCTTCGAAGTCAGTCGTCGTTGTCATCGTCGTCGTTGTCGTCGTCGTCGTCGTCTTCAGGTCGTTGCCTTGCCTGCTCCTGCGACTGGTCCTCCTCTTCCTCGTCCCCCCTCCTTTCCCGAGGAGAACAGGGAGGAGGACGAGAAAGGAGGGAGACTGTGGAAGTGGATTGGGTAATGTGAAGGACGGACAGGGAGGAAGCATGGGGAGGATTGATCAGGAAGGAGAGAAGGCGTACCAGAGGATAGAAGTGAAATGAGGGGGGAGGAGGGAAGAGAGAAGAAATAAGGATTGAAGACGGAGCAGGGAGAGGGATGATGGAGGGGGGAGGGAGAAAGGAGAGAGGGAGGACGGAGCGAAAAGGGAGAGGAAGGACGAACAAGAAGGATGAGAAGGCGAGTGGGAAGAGAGCATATACCCACGATCGAAACATGAGGAAGACTATGATCAACGGCAAGCAAGACCAACTTGAGGATGATCGGCCTTGTGAACCACCATGGCAACAACCGCTCAGATACATAGACCATGCGCCCTGATGTTCACGCGCGCAAATGCGTAGACATTGACTCGGGCTCACGGCACATAAAAACTGGCTTCGAATGACAAGGGCCAACACGGTGGCCCCCAAAGGCGCAGTATCGTGGCCCCCGAGACAGGAGACTGCCGAAGGCGCTATGCATTCCAGAAAGAAGCATCAATAACATGCGCTTGAGGTTCACGCCCGTGCCGCTGTTTTGTTGGCAATGCACTTCTGCGCAACACAGAACCGACGCCCCCGCCTGGGCCCCGCGGCGACGGGCCCTGAGATCCTCAAGGTCCACCGTATGCACCATGCTCAGACTTCAACCAATGACTCAAACTAGGATCCAGCCGTGGACGCCGTCCTTTTGGTCCTTGCGTTTGGTCCTTTTGGTCCAGCGCCCCGCGTCCTCTCCTCTCCTCGTCCTCCTCCTCCTCCCTCCTCCCTCCTCCCTCCTCCGTCCTCCCTCCTCCCATCCTTGCCTCCGCCCTCCGCGCGTCCATTTCGGCACGCCACTCACACGCTTCGTGGCTCTATTCGGAACTCCACCCGGGGCCTAAGTGGCAAGGTTCGCATGGCGCCACCGCGCACAGTTCGGCACAACCCTCACACGTTTCGTGGCCTCACAAGGAGCTCCACCGAAGGTCCCAATGACAAAGTTCGCATGGCGCCACCGCGCCCATGCTGGCACAGCCCGCGCACGCTTCGAAGCTCCGCCGACGGCCCCAATGGCAAGGTTGGCATGGCGCCAACCGCACCCATTTCGACACACACACACCGTCTACGTTTAATGACCCCATAGAGAGCCCCACCGAAGGCATCAATGGCAGGGTTCGCCAAGCGCCACCGCAGAAATTTTGGCACAACCTTCAAACGTTGCGTGGCCCCATAGGGAACCCCACCGTAGGCCGTAGGCCCAAGTGACAGGGCTCTCATGGCGCCACCGCGCCTATTTCGGCACACCCCGCGTACGCTTCGTGGCCCCATACAAAGCCCCATCGGGAACTACCCCTCTGTCGTCCCATCTGACTTACAATATCCGCATCCACAAATGCTTGTAAACTGCACCAAGAGAATATTCACTTCAATTCCGCACAACTGTAAACTGACACACAACTGCATCTTAAGTGTTGCGATCTGTCGAGGATGGCCCTTCTGTTTCATCGGTGACACTCTGCGGTACCAGAACCATGGTGTCGTATTGCTTGCGATGTCTGGTTTTCCCCTTGGCGTTGATGGTCGCGAGTGCCCGGTCTTGCTCAGGTGTCCTATGGAGTGGTGTTCTATGGTTGGTGCCATACACATGACCTTGATTGTCGGGATGCCTCTGGTGGTTGCGATCGCTTGCTTTTTGCCATGGCGCCCGATGGATGCTGGTTTATGGCTGGTGCCCAGCCACGCTTTTGGAATTGCGATTGCTCGTTCTTGCAATGGTGGCCTGTGTGTGGTGCTCTGTGTCTGGCGCCCTATGATGGCTATGATGGTTTGGGTTGCGCGATCGCGCTCTAGTTCTCCGTAGGTTGTGCCATGCTCCACGGCTTTTGCTTTAAGATGAATTTGAGGGTTGCAATGTGTCGTTACTGCCTCGGTTCCCCGATTATGGATGGTGTTCGATGCTGTATGCCTGATGTCCAAAGATCTATGGTAGTGGAGATTGCGCATTCTTGCACTGGTGCACTTTGATTGGCCATCTATGGCCACTGTCATATGATACGCTTGATTGTCGAGGGCTGCGAAGCGTCTGCTCGAAGAAGGCACGCATTATCTCCTCATGCAATATGTGTCAGGCGAATCATTGACACAATAAAATCTAGACGTCGCGCAACATCACCGGGTGTGTGTGCCGGAAACAGGGAACTGACAAAACAGGAAGTTTCCCGCCCTTCGGCTTATTTTCTTGAATTGTTGGGCGGGGCCCCTGGAGGCCCCGAGCATGCTCTCTGAAGGTATGGTTTCTGGCTTCTCCTCTCTTCGCTCCCTCCCTCCCCCCCCCCCTCCTTGCTCCCTCCTCCCTCCGGGGCACCATCCTGCTTGTCTTTGGGGCAATCGTGTCCAATCACGGCGACGAAAGGGAACTCCGAAGATCCTCTAGCGTGCGCCGAAGAAAGGGACCAGGAAAAGGGGGGTTCACGCACCATTGTTCGAGGCTCGTGCGCGGACAAGGGGGGGGAGAAAGCGCATGGAAAAATTCGCCTGGCGAAAGACCCACCCAGATGCACTTGTGAGTACCGCAATTGTAAATATTTTCTTCGGTGGCGCTCCCTATGGGACCACGAAACGCTGTACTGGGTGGGTGAAACGCAGGGAGCAAGGGCCGTGTTGGGTGGTGGCGGACGCATGCGGGGTGCCACTGGCACCTTACCTGGAGCTCCCTATGGGGCCACGAAGCGCTGTACTGGGTGGGTGAAACAGAGGGAGCAAGAGCTGTGCTGGGTGGTGGCGGACGCATGCGGGCGGTGCCACTGGGACCTTCGGTGGAGCCCCCTGTGGGGCCACGAAACGCTGTACTGGGTGGGTGAAACGCAAGGAGCAAGGGCTGTGCTGGGTGGTGGCGGGCGCGTGCGGGCGGTGCCACTGGGACCTTCGGTGGAGCCCCCAATGGGGCCACGAAACGCTGTACTGGGTGGATGAAACTAAGGGAGCAATGGCTGTGCTGGGTGGTGGCGGGCGCGTGCGGGCGGTGCCACTGGGATCTTCCGTGGAGTTCCCTATGGGGCCACGAAGCGCTGTACTGGGTGGGTGAAACGCAAGGAGCAAGGGCTGTGCTGGGTGGTGGCGGGCGCGTGCGGGCGGTGCCACTGGGACCTTCGGTGGCGCTCCCTGTGGGGCCATGAAACGCTATACTGGGGGGGTGAAACGCAGGGGGCAAGGTCTGTGTTTGGTGGTGGCGGGCGCATGCGGGCGGTGCCACTGGGACCTTTGGTGGAGCTCCCTATGGGGCCACGAAGCGCGGTACTGGGTGGGTGAAACGCAGGGAGCAAAGGCTGTGTTTGGTGGTGGCGGGCGCATGCGGGCGGTGCCACTGGGACCTTTGGTGGAGCTCCCTATGGGGCCACGAAACGCTGTACTGGATGGGTGAAACGCAGGGAGCAAGGGCTGTGCTGGGTGGTGGCGGACGCATGCGGGCGGTGCCACTGGGACCTTCGGTGGAACCCCCTTATGGGGCCACGAAGCGCTGTACTGGGTGGGTGAAACGCAAGGAGCAAGGGCCATGTTGGGTGGTGGCGGGCGCATGCGGGCGGTGCCACTGGGACCTTTGGTGGAGTTCCCTATGGGGCCACGAAGCGCTGTACTGGGTGGGTGAAACGCAGGGAGCAAGGGCTGTGTTGGGTGGTGGTGGACGCACGCGGGCGGTCCCACTGGGGGTTCGGTGGAGCTCCTCATGGGGCCACGAAGCGTTGTGTTGGGTGGGTGAAACGCATGGAAGGAGGAGGGAGGGGAGGAGGGGGAGGAGTAGGAGAGGAGAAGAGGAACGCGGGGACCGTCTCTTCAAAACGAGGACCCAACACCAAATAATGGTTGGGATACAACGACCATCCCCCCCCCCCAATTTCAACACGTTGGACGCGTGAGATGGGTAAAGGAAACATGGGCACGATGCCCAACAACTCAAGTTTTCCAAAACCGACAACGACCGCTGTTGGGCAGGCGGCGTTCTCTCTCGAATAGACAACGTCCGCGGCGACACCGGCAGCGAGTCCTGTTCAACATTATCAGGACATGCTGTCGGTTAGTATGCCCACTCTTCCCGTACCCATCTTGATCGTCCCACAGCACTTTGGATCCTCCTCCTCCCTCCCGTCCACAGCAAGTCTTCTAATGCAGCTCCGACTGGTTCCTGATGCGATGAAATGGCATGGCGGCCCCCCTCCCGGTGTCGGAGAAAAAGGACGAGGAGGAGACGGGGGCAGGAAGAGACAGGGCGATCGAGGAGGGATGCAGGAGGGTGGGGAGAGAAAGAAGAGAAGAAACCCACGCCACGATGGGGGGAACCAAGTTGGCACACCTTTGCATCGCCCGCGGCCGCCGCAAGGCTAGCAGTCAGCGGAAGGCAGTGAAACACGACCTGCATCTCTTCACGAATACTGTCATCAAAACCGACTCCCGTCGAAGCGGCGGCGGCGACGGCAGGGCCGCCAAGCGATGCTGGAAGAGCTGCAACAACCAGGTCCTGCACGCAGTTGTCGACCATGGTGTCCTCCGTCTCATCAGCTGCGAAGGGCCGTGCGTCATGAGCTTCGATGGCTTCCTGCAGCTCAGCCTGCATATCCATCACACCCATAACGGAAGCGTCATCATTTCCAGCGAAAGCCATCAGCATGAACTGGTTGAACTGGTCCGGGGAGGAGGGAAGAGCAGCTTCAGCCCTCGACGCGATTGGGAGCGGCGGGAAAAGAGGCGGAGTACCAAGTGCAGGGGGAACGACGTCATCATCTTGCCCGCCAGGAGGCACGCCTTGCGCATCACCTCGATCAGAAGACAAAGCGGGACCATCATGTCCTACGGAACCATGCGTGGAAGCCCTGCGGGAGTCTCACCGACGCCCGAATCACTACAATCTTCGGCGCCATTACAAGGAGTGGCATCGCCGTCGACACCATCCATGGCCGAAGGAGGAGCTGCTGCGCGCTGGTCAACTATGTTCGTCCGCGCGTCCATATGGTCGGTACTGACGGCTTGAATCAGGAACTCCACGTGGATGCCCATCACGTGCGCCATCGACGAGTTATTGTGCGGACCACTCACGACCGCCATCATGGGCGAATTGGAGATGTCATCACGCACTGTCTGCAACCGTCCGTGCCCAGAGAAATCAGGAAACGGAATACCACCGTCGTTTTCATCATCAGAGGCCGTGCCGTCGTCCACCACATGATTGGCATCATCAGTAAGATCCCCGCCTGCCGCGAGGGGATGCTGTTGGAGCCTGCTAACCTGGGCGCCGAGAGAGCCAATGACACGTCCCCTGGCATGGCCCCGGAAGGAGAAAGGCCGCGGTGGCGCAAGAACAGTGGAGCTACCCGCGGGCCGTGGCGCCGAGCATTGCCGTTGTCAAGGACCTCCGTGCCTATATCATTGAAGCGGTAATCGTGCTCGTCGCCCAACATGGCGCCGCCCTCGGAGTGGGCCGGCCGAGGAATAACCCGCTCCGCCAGCAGCAAGGTCCGCCGTCGATTCGACGGCAATTTCCGCGGGAGACAAAGCCCTCGGCGCGCCGAGCTCGCAGGGCCTTCCGGGCGGAGGGGCCGCCGGTGAGCGTGGCCATGAGGTGTGCGAAAATTGGGGCGACCGCAGGTCATCCGGGTCAGTGCCCAGCCTTTCACGTCGCGAGGCACTCCTTCCAACGCCGCTCGAAGCCTGGGCAGCACGCCCGCGGGGCGCGATGGGGGCAAGCCTATTCGCGATGCGCCCGGGATCGCGAGCGCGAAGATCGAACGGCATTCTCGACTGATCAAGGGGCTACTGCGGCATTTGGACGTAAGCGATTGCATTCTGCCGCGCAAAACGCACCATTTGAGGGCCCATACCAAAGAGCTCGGAACAAACAGGAGCCAGGATGCCCGCGCACTTTTTCTCGCGAAAAAAAGCAGGCGCGCACAGTGCGGGCAGAGCCCGCCTACGCCCGTCGTCGTCGCGTGTAGAAGCCGTTTCCACCAGCGGCGAAAACTGCGCGTAGAAAAAACCGACACATAATCAATGCACCAACTCAGCCACGTGTAGAGATTGTCAACCTGCTCCGCATAGTAGATTGAAGGAAGCCACGAGGCTGCCCATGCAGTGGCGCGGCCAGCGAGCCCCCGACGCGACCGCTCAGCCCGCCGCGCGGGGTCATCTTCATCAGGACCTCTCGTAACTTTCATGATCTGCTCGCCGAAGACCTTTGGGGGGGGGGGCTGTGCGGAGGAGAAAGCACCAGTGACCTACAAAGTGCTCGACTCATCGTCGATTCGTCGTCGAGCGACATGACCGATGGAGAAACGCCCCTATCGCCGCCCGGGGCGTCGGGGGGGGGGCCAGGATCAGGGAAACTGCCGCCGCGAGGCGCATTGGCATTGGGGGGTGGCCAGGGGCCAGGGCGCAGCGTCCTCGATGACGCGGGCAAAGGCGCCCTCGGAGAGTTCGGATTCAGAGCGAGGACCCAACGCCACAGGAATACTCCATGCTCCGATACCCCCTGGAAAACTTCGCAGGCAGCGTGCAAGCGCCGAGAAGAAGTTTCGAGAGAGCCCCGCAAGGCTCCGAGCACTGGCGAGAAACCTCCATGGCACCCCCGCTGGACGCCCCGAGGACGCCTCCGAGAAACCCAAGAGGCGCCCCACAGCGATCCAATACCCCCCTGACTACGAGCCAGGCTTAGTGGCGGGATGAACCGAATGACATTCGATGCCTGTATCTGCTGCCTACACGCGTGAAGTTCAACGGCCCTGGCAGAAGCTCTGGGCGGCTCGCGAGCGCCTGATGGCAACATCCAATCCGACAGGGCCCCGAAGCCCCCCCGCGATGCCCCGGGAATGTCACCCCGGTTTCCAAGACCCCCCCCCGACAATCCTATTGAAAAACCCCCAGCGAGCATCAAATCCGCTTTTGACTACATCCCAGCAACGGTGGAAAGGTAAGCCGAAGCCACTAGATAGAGGAGCCGCGACCCGCGCGCCCACTGACGACGTACAACTGGACGGCAACCAAACAAACCAATGACGGAGCTGCGACTGCACACTGCGATGCGTTAGCGTCCGCCGCAATGCGTTTAAATAACCTTTGGCCGAGACTGAATCGCGTTCACGTCGTGGAAAACACGACAAAACATGGATCTTCTTCCGGACTGCCCGGGAGCCCGCGGGGGCCCATGCGCGGAGCGAGCGGAGGGCCTCTCCGCGAGCCCCCAGCCCCCGTGCAAAGGAATGCCTCAGCTGACCCCCGACGTCGAAAAAGAAGGAGGGGGGGTCGCGCAGGTCCCGCCCTGCCCCCTTGGGCGTCGGCGCGCCGTCAAGGCTTGCCGCGGCCAGAATGAACCCTGAGGGCCCCGCGAGGCCGACCCGCTGCCCGCGCGCGCCCCAACTCCAAACTAACATGAGGGGGTCGGCGGACGTAGCGCACGCTCGTGGAATCCACGTCCAGAAGCGACGCGTTGCCGGAGGCGGTTCTGCGGATGCTGTGATGCAGCGTGTCCCAGGTATCCAATACTTGCGTTTTTGCTACATGTTGAATTTTTATGTCTCTCCACCTACCCCCTCCCAGGAGGGCCCGCAACACGCGCGCCGACCAGGGTGCCCCCCCCCATCCCCCCTTCTGGAGCCCAGCTACGCACGAAAGCCGATGGGATATCAACGAATTTGGTGCCTGGGTATTTTGGGTGTCCAAGAGTGCGTCGAAACGGCCCAAGATGGCCTGAATACGAGCCAGGACGGCCCCAACGCGGTCCAAAATGGCCCCAAGAGGGTTCAAACTGCTTGCAAGAAGAGCCAAACGGGACCCAAGAAGACCCCCAAGAGAGTCTCCAGAAGCCACAATCATCGATTATCATGAGGTTCTTGAAAACATTTAGCGCCCCCGCCATTTTCGACTCTCAGCGGCCCATGGCGCCCCAGGCAGCCTCCGACATGGCACCAAGGCCACCCGAAGATCCCCGAAGAGGGCCCCAAGACGGCCCAAGGAGGCCCCAAGACAGCCCAATGACGCCCCCAAGACGGTCTTCGAGGCCCCCGAGACGGCCCAAGGGGACCCAAAGACAGCCCAAGGCGGCCGCGAGAGCCCCACAGGACGGCACCCCGAAGAGCCGAGCGTCGCAAGAGCGCCCCAAGACGGCCCCAAGAGGCCCCGAAGCATCCCCCAAGAAGCTCAAGGGGCCCCAAGAAGCTGGCCCCGCAACGACTGGATTGCACGTGCTCCGGACGCGCACCCCGCGAAGCGAAAGGAACTCTCGTCCAGAAGCGACGCGTTGCCGCAGGCAGGCCCGCGGATGCTGCAACGCAGAGGATCCAATGCATCCAGCGGTTGCAAAATTGCCACACGTTGAATTCCGCTACGCTGTTATGTGTCACTCCCGACTCGCCCAGTCGCACCGCTTCCGTCGACCCTGGCATAACGGGCCCTTCTGAGCTTCGAAACCTAGAAAACCGTATGGATAATATATAACTAATTTGGGCCCCTGGGGCCTCTCGCGGGTCCATGGGGCCGCCGAGACGGCCCAAGATGGCCTCGAGACGGGCCAAGACGACCCCTCGACGGTATAAGATGGCCCCAAGAAGGCCCGAAACGCCTCCGAGAAGGCCCAAGCAGGCCCCCCAAAGCCCATCCAGAAGCAAAACTAACAGATTCGCCTCAGGGGCCCATGGCGGCCCAAGCAGCATCCCGAATGACACCAGCACGACCCAGGAAGCCCCCAAGAGGGCCCCATTGCGGCCCAAGAGTGCCCCAAGACGGCCCAAATCGCCCAGAAGACGGCCTTCGAGGCCCCCAGAGAGCCCCGAGACGGCCGCAAGAAGCCCACAAGACGGCCTCCGGAGGGACCAAACGGCGCGAGAGCGCCCCAAGACGGCTCGAGTCGGCCCCAAGAGGCCACCAAAAAAGCCCGCTAGAGCCCCCGAGAAGCTCGCAAAAGAGCTTCCAACATGCTCCGAAGCGGCCCCCGCCGGGCCCCAACGTCTGGACTGCGCGCGCTCCTGACGCGCACCCCGCGAAGCGAAAGGGATCGATCCAACCGCCACTGTCAATCCACGCCCGCCGTCATGAAGAGCCACTGTTCTGCAAATTCTCCCAAGTGCATGCATGAGCGCGCTGCCCCTTCAGCCCCGCGGCGGTAAACGCGACGGGCGGGGGCGGTTTGCCCGCGGCACGCAGCGAGGGATTGGCAGACGACGCAGAGGACCGATCGGGAAATTCGCCATTACCAGATGGCCCACCTGCAAGCACTGTCAGGCCGGCACCTCAAACAACCAAAGCTTCCGCAGCGAAAAGGAAGCCGCCAGGTGCATTCGCCGTGAGATGCGTCATCGACCGCGCTCTGCGATGCTCAGCAATCCACTAGGCAACAAGCAAAGTCCTTCGCCACGGAGAGCCACCTGCATCGTGCATCGAGCATTCTCAAAAGTCCAGCATCGAGCGCACCTGCAGCAGCGGGATCGACCACTCCCACCATCATGCAAAATAACAAAGGGTTCCGCGCTATGAAAAGCAGATTCGAATTCCAACTGGCTGCCCAAGTGGTAGTTCTTACCACGAGTAGGCCGCCTGCTCGGCGGTGCCGGCGTGGAAATCCACAACTGCAAACCGCGCGCCTGCGCCGAGAAGAGCGCCGCGCTGCGCGGACAGGGGCAACGCCGAATGGCGGGGCCAGCTTGGAGGACTGCGCAACGGCGTCGACCGAGTAAACGCAGCTGCATCGCCCGGTGCGGAAGCCACTCCTGCGGGGGAAGTCGGTCGCGATGGCCCGGCGATGGCGGTGGCCGCGCAGAGGTGGGAGGGCCGGCTTCAAGGACGACTTCCCGCGATATCTTGAAGCTGCCCTTCAGGCGTCTTGAAGGCAAGAACTCTCATTGAAGATGCCGCGCGTTAAGCTGATCAAAGGCAAGCCGACGACTAGCCAGCTTGGCAGCCCCTTACAGTCGTCCGTTATGGAACCCTGCCGGTGAGCGTTTACCATGCCTATCTGCGTAGTCCAGCCGCCATGGAAATCAAGGCACCAGCGTGGGGATCATTATCTGGCTGACAGAAAACGCGGCGGGGCTAGGCTTTGGCGAACTGGATGCGCCACTCCGACTGGAGGGAGGTCGCGGCCCGCGATGCACTTCTGCGGCTAGACGGGCGAGGAAGGCCTTGAGTCGCGTGCGACCCTGGCAGTCTGGCTCATCCGCGCGAAGACGAGCGGCCCGAATCCTCCAAGGGAGAGCCCGCTGGGAAGGGGGCCGGGCGTTCACGACCCCTTGTCCAGCATCTGCTGCCAAACCCCATCCCGCGCGCGGATCTGCAGATCACGACGGCTTCCAGATGACTTTGCTATTGAACTAATCCATCCGAACGCTGCGCATTCGATGCGTTACCCGCAGTCGCCGTCCTGATCCCCGCGCCCGAACGCGCGCTTATTCGGCCCATCCGCTGCTGCCATTCTGCGTCAGGAAAGCCATCCAGCCAGCCGCGATCTGCTCGTGCCAAGCGCATATCGCCGTGTGCACTGCCACGCAATTTCGCACCTTAAGCTGAGTCGCTCGCTCAGGACCACCTCGATCGCCGCTCGACTAAGGCGTCGATGATCGGCAATGGGTTGTC